ATAGTTTGCTGTGTAATGTGCGTTGATTGCATGGTATTACAATCCGCAAGCATTACATATGTATGTATATGTGCCGAATACGTTTGGCTGTGGAATCTATGTGGATCGTTTTGCTGTTTACAAAATTCATAATATGGCAATTCTTTAATTATCTCTCTCGCTCATTCTTTTGTCCTTTTGTATAGTGCCCGACAATTATTATGGCAACAGTGGCAACAGTGGCTCCGGAGGCGTTAATCCTGGCACACCGGGCACGCCCAGCTATCTGACAACGTCCTACTTCAATGCGCCAACGGCGGCATCAACGCAGCGCAGTGCCACTGCCAACGGCTTTGGCACGCATCAGCATCATTCCCTGCAACATCAGCAGCAGTCGCAACAGCAGCAGCAGCAACAGCAGCAACAACAACTGTCACATCACCAACAGCAGTTGCATCATCAACAGCAGCAGCAACAGCAGCAGCAACAACAACAGCAGCAACAGCAACAGCAGCAACAACAGCAACAGCATCCACAGTCTCAGCATCCACATCAGCTGCACACGCATTCCACAATTGCCAATGCTGCAGCAGCAGCGGCAGCAGCAGCAGCGGCGGTCGTTAGCAGCAGCAGTGCCGCCGCCGCAGCAGCGATGCTCAACGCCGGCAGCACGCAGAACGGCGTCATCCAACAGCCGGCGACATCGAGCGTTAACTATGATCTCTCCTATATGCTGGAGCTGGGCAGCTTTCAGCAGCGCAAGGCGAAAAAGCCGCGCAAGCCGAAGCTCGAGATGGGCGTCAAGCGTCGCAGTCGCGAAGGCTCCACCACCTACCTGTGGGAGTTTCTGCTGAAGCTGCTCCAAGATCGCGAATACTGTCCGCGCTTCATCAAATGGACGAACCGAGAAAAGGGCGTCTTCAAGCTGGTCGACTCCAAGGCTGTCTCGCGACTCTGGGGCATGCACAAGAACAAGCCCGACATGAACTACGAGACAATGGGCCGGGCGTTGCGCTACTATTATCAGCGCGGCATATTGGCTAAGGTGGACGGCCAGCGACTGGTCTACCAGTTCGTCGATGTGCCCAAGGATATAGTTGAGATTGATTGCAATGGTGTGTGAGTGAAGGAGAAGGAGAAAGTGAGAAGGAGAGAGCATGTATATAGATGTTAACAGTGGCAATAGAATGGGAGCTAAAGCGGCTAGCGGCAATAGTAGAAATATATCTATATATGTATGTATATATAGAGTATATAAGAGCGTAGCAACCACAACAACACACACGCACACACACACACATGTATTTGTATGTATGTGTGTGTGAGTGTGTTTCTTTTTGTACATGTTGAGTTTTTTGTTAAGATCTAAGCAGAGAATTCAGTTAGAGAAGATGAAGAGTATAAATTACATAGCTGCTAGGCATATACCCTACACACACACACACACGCATATATATGTGTGTATGTATGTATACCCTACACACACACACATATATATATATATATAGATATGTTTATATATAATGTAAAATGTAAAATTCGTTAGTAATTAATAATTCTATTCATTGGCTTTAGTGTTTTAATTGTAACATTTAATTATTGTTATTATTATTGATTATTATTATTGATTGATTGATTGATTGATTGGTTGATTGATCGATGAATTCTTATTGATATTTGTGTATGAAAGAAAAGGTTTAGCTAACTGCATAGCTAAAAGAGAAAACATCGCCTAGCCTAATATATGAACTATATAACCCCAACACCCCCAACCCCCCATACATATACCTAATGCCTACCCCTAACTATACATTAGTGTTACTTTACGATTCGTTTTTTGGGGGCTCATTGTTTTTGTTGCTTATTTTATAAAAAGAGATCAAGAGAGAAATATGAAATATATTTTAATAGTTTTAATTAGTTTTTATGCCTATTCATAGTCTATTTATTTAAGTCTTTCGTTCTACTCTTAACTATATATATATATATATATATATGGATTGCATATATATATATATATGTATATGGTCTATCTACGCTGCCCCAATATCCTAAAACAGGAGTCAACTTTCATTGTAATTACTAAATTTTAAGTTTAAAAGCAAAATTTAAGAAGAAAAAACAAAACTTTTTGGTCTGAATTTTATGTCTGAAATATTTCTTTTCTAAGCACTGCCACAAACTAAAAAACAACAACAACTCAAAAATATATACATATATTAAAAATAGTTTCACATTTCTACAAACAAACTTTCAATGCAACAAACAACAACAACAACAACAAACAATACAAATCAACAAAAATGTTTCAAACACTGCCCAAACAAAAGAAAAAGAAAAAACAGAAAAAGTGCAATCTCTTAAATGCATAAAACTAAACTAAAAGTTTAAAAGAATAGTAGAAAGATGAAGAGGAAGAAAGTGTAAATGTAAAAGTGTAAAAGAGTAAAACCAACTCCTAGTTCGATATGTATCTGTTTATATATATATATATATATATATATATATATTTCTTTTATACTTATATTTAGTTTGCGTTCTCTAAGTACCTTTATTATTAACTAACTAACTATCTATCTATCTATTATTATTATTATTATTATTATTATTATTACGAAATATAAAGAGTTTTACGTTTTTTCTTTAAATTTTGTTCAAATTGATTGAGGGTTTGATTGATTGATGGATTGATTGATTGCTGGATTGATTGATTTATAAATAATAAACAACAACAAAACAAAAACGAAGTGAGTTTTGAGAGTTTTAACTCTGTTCATTGTAAACAACATTTTTTATGATTATTTTTTATTTTTTAATTATTAAAATAAAAATTATTATTTCAAGATGCATGAGTTTTATTTTCAAATATATATAAATATATATATATATATATATATATATATATATATATATATATATATATATATATATATATATATATGTATATATATATATACGATCCATGATAGACGAAATACAAATATTTGCAACCCGTTACAAATTTGAAATCTAAATATACCTCCCATTAAATATATATAAAAAAAAATTATATAATACATATATATATATTCAAAGTCTATATAGAACATATTTTAGATAAATTTAAGCCACGAAATTTCGATGTAGCTCGTTTTTTAGATGGAAAACAAAACTCAGTTTTTGAGGTTTCGAATATGAGGGAAAGAGAGAGTCGGAGAGAGAGAGAGAGAGTGAGAGGGAGAAGCATATGTCTATCTAAATATATACCTATTATATAGAGTTTAAGCAGCATGACACAATTATTTAACATATGCTTTAAAGATGAGAACAGATTAACAATACGAGGGTAGTTTGAAAAGTTTGTGACGCAACAAAAAGATAGAAAAAAAAGTGAGAACTCCGTAATCGGCCACAGTCGACTACATAATACTCGTTCACAATGCAAAGATAAATAATAATAACTTGGGATATAATTCCAAGCAACAGACTCCAAAGTTTCTAATTAACATGATTTATATATTTACCTTAACGAGTATTAATTACCCTTCATTTCTTACTTAGTAAACTTTTCAGACTACCCTTGTAAAACTAACCAAATGCAACGAAAAACAGTTAAAAATGCAGATGTTTTTACACTGCAAAAAAATAATATAGCAAACGATTTTTTTTGTTAAAATTACTTTGTATTTAAAATTAAACAACGATAGATTAATTATTTCATTTATTTTTAATTTTTTTTATTAATTTTTATTAATGTTTTACATTTTTAGTGATAAAATTTGGAACCGCCAAGCTAAATATGCACTGTAAATGTATATAAACAACTTCTGGACCTCATGTTTCACTTATTAGATATAAAATAAGAATAATTATAAATTATGAAGTATATATATTGGATATATATATATATATATACTTCTATATATATACATAAAGAAAAGAAACGCTGGATAAGACCAACTAAATATTAAAGATTTAGATTTTCAAAGAAAAAAGATCTCTAGAAGAATTAAGTCAAATACTTACTTTATTGAAGAATATATAGTCTTAAGATCGAGTGAGTTAATGGACGAGTTTTGATATTTGAGTGCACTGGAGTCTGGCAAAAAGGTTTTGGAAAAAGGCAGCAGCAGTAGCTGATTGGGAATGAATATGGAAAGGATTGGAAAAGGTTTTTAGCGAATCTGTTGAAAAGTTAATATGTAGTTTATACATAGTATATGTTTAACTTATCATACGTGCATCTATATCTCTGTATATGTGTATGTATAAAAAATTAAGTTTCATTTTTTATATATGCAACAGGCGATTTTCCAACGTCTGCATTCAAAAATCAGCAAATGCGAGCCACAAATTAGAAATATATATATAGCTGACTATATAGGTCAGATATTAATTTAATTTTAACACGCAACCGAAACAAAATTGGTAAAAGGAAATAGCATAATTATTTACTGTTATGAGAAAACGTTAGAGTTTTAAGATTTTTAGCTAAATTTTGTATATTTTAATCTACAGATTGCTATAAAAAATATATATATATATACACATACTTATATTATCTGTTTTATAAATAACATAAATAAATGAGACTAAAAACGAATGCATTTTATTTTAACTTTAAAGGAAAAAAACATTTTTGAAAATTAAGGAAATATAAAAAAATGTAGAACATTGGGCGCCCCTGACAGCAAGTTCGCTGCTATGACACTTCAAATGAGCAATTGATCGGTGCAAACAACCTATGTTAACTGCAAAAAGCATTTGGTTGCATTATATATTCTCTGCGTTAACACATGTGTTAACAAATTTTTAAAACTAAGCAATACGAATATTAATTTATATATTTTATTATATACATGTTCCACATTAATCAATAATCATATAGTCTTTACTGCGTAGTATGTGCAAAAATATCAGGGTTGCATTTAACAGTGTATATCAATAGGCAAAATAAGACACCAACTTTCGCGCATCGTGCTCTGGTATGTTAGACCGATATACAAAAAATATCGATAGTAAATGCGACTGCGACGGCCATACTGTAAATACATATACACATACATACATTTTTTTCTTTTTGTGTCATTGTGCGTTCCAAAACCAAAATCACATTTCTGCGATGCATTTGCATTGCAAATTATAGAACAAGAATGAGATGTTTTTGTGTGGCGAAAAGGCAATAACAATGATAACAATGAATTGATGTATATAAGTTGCATAACGTACGTCGTCGGGCTCCGTCTATGTATATGTCCCTCGTTGAGCAGTCGTAATTTCGAGAAAACCACACACATACGCTCATAAAACGCCATCAAAACAGCAAAAAAGTAGAAAAGCAGTTTTTGAATGGCGTAAAAGTGTTAAAAAGCAAAACAAATCGAAATCAAGTGTGCGTTTTGCTAAGACTTTCATAGCAAATGTGTTGTGGCAGCGACAATAGACGCGCAGCATTAGCAGCAGCAGCGCAGCGAACGTCAGTCACATCCAATACATTACCAATACAATCGCATCTACCACAGCCGACAAAGAAAAAAGAGACTCTGCTTGTGCTGCTGCTTTTGCATCTTCTTCTTGTTAATCGTACAGTTCCTACGTCAACGACAACAAAAACAACCACAACATTTGACTCAGCTGCCAAGCCAAAACAACTAAAGAAGAAATCAAATCAAATTGCTGTAAAACTGTGTGTTGTCTTGCATGTGAAATTAACAAAAAAAGAAGAAGACGTAGTTCACGCGTTTGTTGGTATTCGTGCGCGTGAGCCATGAGTCTACCAAGCAGCGCTGCTGCCGCAGCTGCTCTCTCGACTGCAACGGGCAACATCGGTGCCTCTGCCAGCAGTAACAGCAGCAGCACCAGCAGCAGCACCAACAACAACAACAACAACCTGCCCTTTGAGAAGGATAAGATTTGGTACTTCAGCAATGAGCAGCTGGGCAATTCGCCAAGTCGTCGCTGCGGTATTAAATGCGATGATGAGCTGCACTACAGACAAATGACCGCCTATCTGATACAGGAGATGGGTCAGCGTCTGCAGGTGTCGCAGCTATGCATTAATACCGCAATTGTTTATATGCATCGCTTCTATGCGTTCCACTCGTTTACACATTTCCATCGCAATTCCATGGCATCGGCCAGCTTGTTTCTGGCCGCTAAGGTAGAGGAGCAGCCGCGCAAGCTGGAGCATGTGATAAGGGCGGCCAATAAGTGCCTGCCACAAACAACCGAACAGACCTATGCAGATCTCGCCCAGGAGCTTGTCTTCAATGAGAACGTACTGCTGCAGACGCTCGGCTTTGATGTGGCCATCGATCATCCGCACACCCATGTGGTGCGTACCTGCCAGCTGGTCAAAGGTAGGCACCATGCTCTAAACCAATACCAATACCAATATCCAATGCCATTTAAACCATTTGGCTGCGTGATGATTAGAGCAATTGTGATTTTGTTAACACTGTGATATATTTTAGCATGCAAGGATCTGGCGCAAACCTCCTACTTCTTGGCCTCAAACAGGTATGGCTAACACCAGCTAATCCATATACATAATAACTAGGGCTCTAGTTGGCATAGTTCAGCATACAATGGATGTGTGATGTGTGATGTGTGTGTGTGAGTGTGTGTATGTATATATGCGCACATTTTGTACAGGCAACAAGGACACAATAGAGTCAACAAATCATGTAGCTGCTCACTTTGTTAGCATCCCTCTTTGAGATGCCTTCTTACCTGTGTGTTAAGGTCATTAAATGCTCTACCTTAAGTTCCATTATTCTGCAAAAGATTTGAGCCTTTTATGACGCCTTCGCTAAAATGCTTCTAACATTGTACAGACTTTGTAGGTGTTATCCAAAAACTTCCCATAAAAATGTGACTAAATTTGAAGAGCATTTGCTATAGTCTTGTCTGAGCAACTCTAGTTTTTTATGCTTAAAATCATTTTTATGCAGGCAACACTTGCGAAGTTGTCCTGATTAAACCGCTCTAAGGGCATACACAGCTAGCTAGTATTCGGCTTATACAAGCGCTACTATATTCATATGCATATACTCTAAAGCGTTAAGAGTACTTCGTCTTTGGGTATTATCAAATACAATTCAGCAATAGACTCTTCTGTCTTATATCCGTCTTTAAGCATATATACGCGCACACACAGGCTTGTGTTCCATAAAATAGATAATGAGTTTCGATATATGACATGATTTAGATGCATATATAGTATATATGCTGCATATACTTCATATTTAACGATTACTAAAATGTAAATTGTGTGCTGGCTTCGGCTGGTGCTCCTTTTGATGATTAGCCTACATCTGACCTCGATGTGCCTGCAATATCGACCCACTGTGGTTGCCTGCTTCTGCATTTATTTGGCCTGCAAATGGTCACGCTGGGAGATACCGCAATCGACTGAGGGCAAGCATTGGTTCTACTATGTGGACAAGAGCGTATCGCTGGAGCTGCTCAAGCAGCTGACGGACGAGTTCATAGCCATTTACGAGAAGAGTCCGGCGCGGCTCAAATCGAAGCTCAACTCGATTAAGGCAATTGCACAGGGAGCCAGCAATCGTACGGCAACTGGTAACAGCAAGGACAACAAGCCGAAAGAAGACTGGAAACTGAGCGAGATGATGAAGGGCTATCATTCAAATATCACAGCGCCGCCAGAGCTGATGAATGGAAGCGACAGTCGTGATTCATCACAATCAGCGCTACTGCCACCGCCTGCAATGGTGCCATCGCAGCAGCGTCGCAGTGATGGCAGCCATCAGCGTTCGTCATCGGTGGGCGGTGTCCCAGGTAATTCGTCCTCTTCTACCTCCTCATCTTCATCGAATCACAAGTTGCCAAATTATCCAGGCGCACTGCCGCCCGAGGCACATGGAGGTGTGTATCGTAAGACCTCAGTTTGTAGCCATATATTGTGTTCTCTAATCTTATTACCTTCTCTTTCATATAGACCACAAATCGAAGCAACCCGGCTATAGCAGTCGTGCGCCGTCTGGCCATCAGTCGAGCTCGTCGTCATCGGCGCAACGTAGCAGCAGCAGCAGCTCCTCAACAAGCAGCAGTCAACGCAGCTCCTCGAGTCAACCGTCTGGTCGGCCACCCATGCCTATGGACTATCACAAATCATCGCGTGGCATGCCGCCCGTTGGCATGCAGCCGCATGGTGGTCACAAGATGTCCACAAGTTCCAAGCCACAGCAGCAACCGCCTCCGCTTTTAGACAGTCGCGGCAACAGCAACACTTCATCATCCGCCTCCAATGCATCAGCAGCAGCCAAAGATGTCAGCAAGTCGTCGTCGTCGTCGTCGAATAGCAGCAGCAAAATGTATCCTAATGCACCGCCGTCGTACGGCAGTAGCGGACCCAGCAGCAATCCGCTAATGTCTCGTGGCGGCTACCCTGCGCCGCCTGCTGGCTATGGCTCGCACGGCTCGCATCGCAATAAATCCGTCTCGTCATCAAGCTCATCGTCATCCGTCCACAGCATGCCGCCTTACGAGCAGCAGCTGCCCTATGGCCAGAGCCAGGCAGTGCCCAACTACAATCATATGCAACCGCAGTCACAGCCCCAACCTCCGCTCGAGTCGCAACAACTCAGCAAAAACAATTCGCTTTTCAGTCCGGAATGGAGCGACATCAAGAAGGAGCCACAATTCAATGGGTTGTTGCCACCGCCACCAGGACCTGCACACGAGAGTCTGGGCTATAAGCTGAACAATCATGCGCGAGATCGGGACAGCCCCAAGAAGGATCGTTTGACACCCACCAAAAAGGATAAGCATCGCAACACGTTGCCACACGGCGGTGCAAACTCAGGCAGTACCAGCAGCAGCAGCAGCAGCTCGACTAAGCCCATGCTGCCGCCGCACAAGAAGAGCCACAGCGACCTCCTAACCAATGATTCCAGTCGCGATATTGGCAGTTTGAAGCGCGCCAACGAAATCTCCGGCAGTCAATATGGGCTCAATAAATTGGACGATCATGATACCGGCAGCATGCCACGAGACAAGGTGCGTAAGCTAGACAATAGCATTGGACTGCCTGGCTATTCCAGCTACTCCGAAGAAAACAAACATGCGCCGTTGTCCATGTCGAACGGTGGAATTGAGACAACGCCCGATTTGGTGCGCACGCTGCTCAAGGAAAGCCTCTGCACAACCAATGGCTCGCTGCTGAAGCCCGACGCATTGACCATGCCTGGGCTTAAGCCGCCAGCGGAGCTGTTGGAACCGATGCCGCCAACAACGCAACTACACATGAAAAAAGAATCGCTGAGTGCACCCACAAATCTCTTGTCCAACAGCTTGTCAGCAGCGCCTGCCATGGAGCTGGATGCACTGACTAAGCTGGGCGATGGCAAAGATGTCGAGGGTGCTGGCAAGTCGGAGAAGAAAAAGAAGAAAGACAAGCATAAACACAAGGAGAAGGACAAGTCAAAGGACAAGCCCGACAAGGAGGAGCGTAAGAAACACAAAAAGGACAAGCAGAAGGAGCGCAGCAGCAAGGACACGTCCATGGACTCGCTCAAGCTGGTCATCAAGACCGCCGCGAATCCTAACGGCAGTCTCCAAGTGGGCGCCGCAGCGCCGCTCAAGCTGAAGATCAGTAAGAACAAGGTGGAGCCGAATAACTATTCAACCGGAGCTGGACTATTGCCAATGTCGACAGCGTCTGGATTTGGCATTGCGCCACCGGTGCAGGGGATAACGACTACAGCTGGATTGCCTGGTCAACAGCTGGGGATACCGGGGTATGGCGGCTACAGCTCCTCGAACAGCACCAACAGCAGCAGCAGCAGCGGCGGCGGTGGTAACACTAGCAAAAAGAAGCACAGCGATCGGGATCGGGACAAGGAGAGTAAGAAGAGCAAAACTCAAGACTATGCCAAGTACAATGGAGTCTCTGGCGGCAGTGGTGGTGGCGTCTATGCGCCTCTAGGCGGTGCTGGCGCCGCGTCTAATACGCAGGCAGCCGTAGCCAGCTTGCTGGGTCTGCCACCCAATCTGACGTCCGCGTCGTCAAATGCTAATTTGGGTTCCAACTCTGGCGGCTCAGCCACGTCGATGGTGATGCCGCCAACAGGCGTGCCCGCTGGCATTGCACCAACCGCTCTGCCCATTTACAACAAAAAGTAGTCGTAGTCAGGGTAGCCCCTAATCCCCCCACATAACTATATATTCTTTGGAATCCCCAAGAACTTTACCTTCGATATAGTTTATATGTAATATGTAACACGGTAGTCGTAATTGTTGGTGAGATGATGCATTAGTTGGCTAAATTATTAATTGAACTATATTTTAGTTAAGCCCAAATACCACACACAATTAAATCGCAATCGCAATTGCGGCCGAAACTCTTTCGGCTAGTTGTGTTCATAATGATAATCAACGGAATGAAAAACTCGGAAGGCAACAAAACTACAAAAAACGTCTGTACAGCATTAATTAATTTGTAATTATAACACACACACACACACACCCGCATACACTCACACACACATGTAATTGTAAAAGAATTCAGATATATTGTAAAAGCAAAGCAAACTCCTTTCGATTGCAAATAGAGCGTGAGCACGGCCGTTTAGTCTATAAGTTAGTAAATCAAATACCCATACCTATGCATAAACACACACACATACACCTGCACACACACACACACACATACACACTCTCACACATACAAATATATATATATATATATATTGAACTGTTGTATATAGCCACAAGAAAAACAACTTCCGCTTAGCTAAACAAATAATACGGCCCGAACTAATGCAAATAAAAAGAGAAACAGAAAAATGAATCGAAAATTTTGTGAGAAGTAATTTATGCAAAGTCAAGAGAGCCGCGCGCTTTAATTATAAATTAAAGAGCAACGCAATTATACAAACAATTTAGAAATCACAAACAAAAACAGTTATAAAAACTACATAGATATAAACTAAACACAAACACATAAATTATTTGAATTAAATAATAGTATATATATAAAAAAGAAACAAAAACAAAGTGAATGCCGTTAAAAATTGTGTGAAATTAATTTTTAGTTAGCCAAGTTTTTCGTTTTTTATTATTATTATTTCAATTTTTTACAATCAATGAATTCGTTTAGCTTTTAATTTTAAAACAAAAGAAATAGCAGCTAAATAATAAACGCAAAAAAACAAATTGATAAATTCATAAATCGATAAAAGGTCGACATAGCTTTGAGTTGTTTTTAATTTGAAATTAAATAGCATTAAAATGAATATGAATAAAACAAAAATACAAATTGTTGTGCAACACGAAAGAAACAAAAACAAAGTAAAAGCTATGCAAATTATATGAAATTAAGCAAGAAGAAAAACAAGAAAACATATATCAAACACGATCATAAATTATGTAATTTTCGACTAGAAAACAAATTTAATCAAGCGTTGCGCGTTTTTTCAGAAAAAAAAAACTATTCGATTTCTAATTCTAATTGCATTAAGCTAATTAAAAAAAAAACAAAAGAAAATAATGGGAGAAGAAGACGAAGAAGAGGATCGTATAGCTATATACTAACTAAACACACATACAATATATATACATATACATATTCATATTTGGAAAATACGAAAAATGTTGAGTTACAAGAAAATTTCCAAGAAAAACAAAAACAAAGCAAAGATATTGCTAATGCTAAACACACAACAAGAAAAACAACAGCAGCAACAACAACAACAACAAAAGCAGCATTAGATATATATTAAAACAAAAAAAAAACACGTAATTCTATTTCTTAGTTTTTTCTCCCCCTGCTCTACTTTTTAAGTTTTTGTACATAGTTGAAAAACAAAACAAACAAAACACAAAAATGACATTTCGAAAAAGTTGCCCGAAAACTCGTAAAAAGTTTCATTGGAAGCCTTTAGCCACGCTTCGAAAATGAACTACTTTCTCTTCGACTTTTACGCACGTTTCGAAAGTTCGAATAAAAATTTCAAAAAACCCAAAAGAACAATAAAAAAAATTGGAAACACATAAAATAAAAAAAAAACAAACAAAATACAAAAGAGTCTCTTGTTTTATGTGTATTTTTAAGGAACTTCAATTGTTTGTGTGCTGCCAGATCCAATCGAGGTAGCTGGTGACCCGCGTGAAGATGCTCGGGAAGCCAATCTCGCAGCCCGTGGCGAGGCCGAAGGAGGTAATGCCTATCAAGTAGCTCTTGTCGTCCTCCTTGTAGATCAGTGGCCCGCCGGAGTCGCCCTGGCAGGTGGATTTGCCGCTGCTGGTGCTCATGCAGAGCATCTTCTCGGACAGCGAGCCGCCCCAGTACAGCTTGCAACGCGCCTGTGGCATCACGGGCATTGCCACGTAGCGCAGCGTGGGCGAGGTCGAGCTGGAGCTGTCGCTATCCCTGCCCCAGCCGGAGGCATAGGCCGTCATCTGCTCATAGCTGGAGTAGCTGCCATTCAAGCCCCTGGGCAGCTCGGCCGCCCTCACTCGATCGCCGAACTCCACTGCGAGAGGCAGCTGCACCAGCGCAATATCATTGGCCACAGTGCTCGCTGTCCAGTTGGCATGCACTATCATGTGCGACTTGTGCACCTGATACCGCAACTGGCCCGGCTCCAGGTCATTCGTGATGTTGAGTGCCCCCAGGTAGGCAGTTGCACTCACGGCTCCATCCATGCAGTGGGCAGCCGTCAGTATCCAGCGATGGCTGATCAAGGTGCCGCCACACCAGGTGCTGCTGTTGCCAAACGAAACATTGAAGCCCACCTGGTATGGAAATTGACCCGCAACAGCGAACTCTCCATTCGTAATGCGACCGCTCAGACTAAGCAATTCCACCTGAGCTACGAATAGTGCTACAAATATAGCTAGCACAGTTAACTGCATTATTCAAACACTATTAAACAATTAATAATAGTTACTTTGAGTCTTTTGTTTATAAAGAAAACTGCGTCGCAATTAGCTCGAGTGCCCCATCGACACTCAGCCCTTAAAGCTTAAGACTCCTTCACCTGACCCTTGTCATAGATTAGACTAGATAGATTAGACATTGCCATTAGATATAATCGAGCCATCCTCCAAAAACTATAATTGAGAAAAAACATGCTTTATAGAGCATCTTGAATGCTCTAGGTACGTCTACAATATATCTATGATATGCAAATATATAGTCGAGGGGTTGACCCAGATAACATCTGGCAAATTCTAAGCTCAAAGTGGACTTGGTGCACTGGGCTGAATACAAGTTTGCCTAGAGTTTAGATTAACTTAAGACTCTGTGCTCAATAGAACAACTATCAATGCCTCTCTATGCGATTCTCACATGCACATGCAATAGATAATCAGACTTTGTTTAACGATTGATCTATCCCATCAGCACTTAGCACGGCAATATATGAATATCATTGTTTATTTTAAGATTGCAATTCAAGGAGATGTCTATTTGTTGACCACACCGCTGTGTTCCTCGATCCAGTCCAGGTAGGAGGTGATTCTGGTGAAGACAGCTGGGAAGTTCTTCTCGCAGCCCAAGGCGAGGCCGAAGGAGGTGGCACCGATCAGATAGTTGATGTCGCCATCCTTGTGGACCAGAGGACCGCCGGAATCGCCCTGGCAGGTGGACTTGCCGCCCTTGGTGCTCATGCAGATGACGTTGTCGGTGATGAGACCGACCCAGTACTTGTTGCAGGTGCTAGAGGCCATGATGGGCTGCTCCACATAGCGCAGCACGGGCGAGACAGCGTTAGACTTATCGCTGTCCAGACCCCAGCCAGAGGCGATTGCCTGCTCGTTAGCATAGGTGGAGTAGCGGCCATCCTTCTTGGGCAGAGTGACGGCCCTGACGCGATCGTTGAACTCCAGCTCAGCGGGCAGCTTGATCAGGGAAATGTCATTGACCACAAGTTTGGGATCCCAGTGCTCGTGCACAATGATGCCGCTCTTCTCCACATGGATGCGCTGCTGTCCGGGCTCCTCCTCCTTGATCTTGGTGGCGCCCACATAGACGGTCACCGAATCAGCAGAGTCTGTGCAATGGGCAGCGGTCAAGACCCAGCGATTGGAGATCAAGCTGCCACCGCACCAAGCTCCAGCATTACCAATAGCAATGCTCAATCCCACCTGGTAGGGGAACTGACCCACACGTGCCTCCTCGCCGTGGGTGATGCGACCATCCATGGGCGCAGCGGCCGCGGTGGCCAGAAGAGCAGCCAATGCAATAAACAACTTCATGATTCGTATCTGAGTTAACTTCTGATTTGGACAGAGTTGGAGCAAATGTTTTTATAGCTCGCAGCATAGCACTCCGATCAATGCCATGCCGTATGCCATATCTTATCAAAGTATCTGTTCACACGGGACTCTCTAGAAGATAGCGATAAGGGCGCGTGCGCTGCGTGCCACATTATATTATATATGTCCTGATAGAACAAAGAAGTCGGGATCGGATCACTAATTAACTGATTAGCCTCGATGATTTCTATAGAAAACCAATAAATTAAATTGAAGAAGTTTTTTTTGTTTTCGTTTTAGTTGCGTTTATCTATTCAACTGGCGAGTCGAGTCTTCAGCATTCATCTCTATCTAACCACTTGCTCGGACGTATGAACTGCACTAAAATACTGAATGAAGAGCCAATCTCTATCAGCAATAACAACAACAATAGCATTACTTTATTTAAAAGTACATGACTAGGTAATACCACGTTCCTTCTGTCTGAAGTGCCCATTCAACAAAGTCGCAAAGAAAGCACTTCAGACAGTGGCTCTTCAGTTGAACAGGAAGTGCGGGTGTTGCTTAACTGCGGTGCTAGCTTAAGGGTTAATTGTTGAGCAAGCTATGGGCTTAATTGACTGAGCGCTGCTTAGCTGCGGTGCTAGCCTAAGGGTTAAGGCTGAGCAATAAATTTAAAGCTAAGATACTGCAGATTTGCAGAGATTTGAATTTGGATTTAATTGATCATTCAACATATATAATATTATCAAAAAAATTGACTTCATTTGCAAGCTTTTTCGAGTGGGCGCTGCTTAGCTACTCTGCTAACATAAGGGTTAAAGCTAAATGTTTTGATTTTTTGATTTTGACAGAGATTTCCAGACGCTTTCAGGTTTGATAAGGTTTTTCTGACATCAAAATTTAACCTTGACAATATTATCAAATCCAAATGTATTTGTAAAGAGGGATATTTTACTTAAGTGAAGATCGTAGAAGTTTTAAGTGCGCGAATTTTGAATTTTGATAACTCAACGGGAACTTAGTTCTGATTATGTCTGAGATAGTTTAGTCAGACTGACTAAATAACTCACATTATTACATCATAATATTTATATTTTATAAAATTGTTATCTTTATCAATCTTTGCGAAAAGATTGAAAGAATTCCTTTCCCACCTCTGAAATGTCCACTTTTATTTAAGCTACTCTCTAAATGAGTTTTATAAGCTTTCATTACTAGGATAACTGCATAACTATAGATAATACGCTTAAGCATAAATTGCTTTCTATGGAAAATTTTAAATACAATTTTAGTTTTGTATTCGTAATGCTCCAATTGAGATAGCGCGCTATGAAATGGCGTAAAAGACTGATTGAATTGATGACGACGTATAATCTCATGAATATATATACATATCTATAAATATATATCAATATATAATATATATATGCATATACAAATTATAGTTATCAATAGTTATAACAATAGATACGTAACTATTGTTTTTTTTTTTTTTGGCAAATAATCCTATCTAAAGTTTACAGAGAGACAAAAAAAAATTAATTTAATTGATAAGCGTGGCAGAGTTACAAGAGCCGTAGAACAGAGCCACTTGAACAGGTGTTCTAGTCCTAATTTTGCAGACGTCATTCCCTTAGCAGCGAATCTGTATATAAGCGACTGCTTTACTTGACCAAGATTATAGTCTTCATTGAAGTCAACATGAAGGTACTTGTTGTATTCGCTCTGGCCTTGGCCTACGCCTCGGGATCGGCACTGCGTGCTCCCTTTGAAGTGAACGTGGAGCCTGAGTTCCGCAATGTCTACATGCCCGTTGTGGACGGACCTGATGGTCGCATCACCAATGGACACGACGCCAGCGCTGATCAGTTCCCCTATCAGGCTGGTCTTTCTCTGAAAATTGGCAAGTCCTCCGCCTGGTGCGGTGGCTCCGTGATCGGACACGAATGGATCCTGACTGCCGCTCACTGCACCGATGGGTAAGCACAAGCTGCTTTGCCAACTGATCCTCAGCTAATCCTTGGTTTCTTTATCAATTTGTCCAGTGTCGATTCTGTCGATGTTCATTTGGGCAGCACCGTCCGCTCGAGCCCCAAGGTTAAGCACAGCGTCAGCAAGGACCACATCATCATCCATGCCGGCTGGAACTCCAAGACTCTCGCGAACGACATTTCCCTCATTCGCATTCCATACACCGACTTCAGCGACGCCATCCGTGCCGTTGAGCTGCCCCGTCTGGAGTCCCACTACTCCACTTATGTTAACGATGAGGTCGTTGCCTCCGGCTGGGGCCGCACCTCCGACTCCTCCAGCTCTGTTGCCGCTCATTTGCAGTACGCCGACATGAGAATCATCTCGAACGACGCTTGCAGGAAGACCTATGGTCTGACCATCCGTTCCTCCAACATCTGTGTGTCCACCCCAGCCTCCGTTTCCACCTGCAACGGTGACTCTGGCGGCCCATTGGTGCTCAAGGACAGCAAGGAGCAAATCGGTCTGACCTCCTTCGGCTCTTCTGCCGGTTGCGAGAAGGAGCTGCCAGCTGCCTTCACCCGTGTCACCAGCTACTTGGACTGGATCAAGGACCACACTGGCATCTCTCGTTAAGTTGAAAAATTGGAAAAATGTGATCGCATTTTTTTTTTATCAAATTAAAGAATATGAAAAAAAATTGAATATAAAAAGTTTACTTTTAATTAATTTTGGGCTTATCTAGTAATATCCAAATGACTTAGCCTTTAGATAGACGCTCAAATTAAGTACGAGAATATCATCCGAATGCTTAGCCTTAAAGGAGAAATTTAAATGCCAAACGTTTAGAGTCAATTGAGTTCTTTACCTCTAAATGTGGGCTATAAAAAGTCCTTTGAGGTGTATCCTTTATATGTCCTTAGGAAGCATTTTACACCTTCAAACAATTTGCCTTACAAAAAGAAAACACATTTAATAAATTCTTATCTTTTAATCGTTTTTTTATTGTTTTTTTGCTTTTGTTTTGATGTTGTTGTTCTTTAGTTTCTTTCACAATGAAACAGTTAAATATATAATTTTTTGTTTTGCATTTTATATCATAATTTGACTTTAAAGTTTAGTTTAGGCTTTACTCGGCTTTTACATATATATATATATATATATACATATATATCATCAATAAATTTCATATATTTTTTGTTAGTTTTTTTTTCCTTTCATTTTAATAAACATTTGGAATGCATTTTATATAATTTAAATTTAACAATATACATAAATTTGATTTGCGATTTAAGTGGCATCGTTTTGTTGTTGTTGTTGTTGAAATAGTTATTTATATAAACTTTATCATTAAAAATTGGAGAGACTTATGCACAGTTTAACATTATAATTATTATTATTATTAAATACACATACATAGTTATACAGAATAAAAAAGTTACAGTTTAATGGTCTTTATCAATCGAATGTCAATTAGGCATAACTTTTCATTGTTGTAGACACGAATATTGCATAAAAATAACAATTATAAAAAACCTTTATATAAGATATATTTTCTCTTTTCACTTTTTTTACTTCTTATTTTTTGTATAATTAGTTGATTTTTTCGATTTATATGTTTGTGTGTGTGAGTGTAAACGCAAGCAATGCATATTTTGAAATTTGCTGTAGTTTAGTTAGTTAAGTTCACTAATTTTTACAATTTTTCGGCAGGGGCCAAATAGAATACAAATACGAATAGATCCTTCCATTTTTTATAGTCTACTCCAATTCTGTGGACCTTAGGTCTCCAATTGGAGCTTATGTATGTGTATGTGTATGTGTGTTTGTATATGTGTGTGTGTGTGCTTTCGCCTAGCTAAAAATACATACGAAACAGCACTAAACTAGCAAAAGTGATTATAATACAAAAGCAAACAAACAAATAAGTACACGAGTGATTGGCGGTGGTGTTCCAAGTAGTTGCAAAGCGGTTGCCCTGTCGCTGCTGCTGCTGCTGCAGCTGCCTCTGTTGATGTTGCTGTTCTTCTTGTTGTTGTTGTTGTGATATTGTGTGTCGTCGTTGTTGCTGCTGTTCCTCCTCAAATAAGTGCTGAACCGTTTGCCACAGCCAAACAGTATCAGCCACATTGCCAACGCCGTCGCACACAGGGCCAGTGTTATTAATCAACTCCAGCAAATCCTTGACTACCCTCAATGGCCTTGATCAGTTTATCCTTCAGCTGCAGATAGCCCTCATAGGGTGGCAGGTCCAACCGATTGAAGCTAAGCGAATGAACCAAGTATTTATAATCGATCACAATCACTGCAAAAGCCAGTTTCTTACCAGGTATGTGCACGTGGAAAGTTGTTGGGTGTGCCCCATTTCTCAATGGTAAACATTTGTGGACCATTCGATCCGTAAAGCTCCTTGAAACCATTCATGGGCACACGAGATGTGCCCGTGACAAACTGCAACAGACGCGAACGCATTTCGTTGGAGAACGACAAAACGGCACGCCAGAACCATTGAATAATGATGTGATTCATATGATAATCGCCCTTATATAGCGTATTCTCGCGCCAGTCCTTAACATCGATATTCTGTATGCCGCACATCAACAGTTCCAGTTCGTGTTCATCAAATATTTTGATTAGGTTCAGTGGTATGATCGAACCAAAGCCATCCAAAAATGCTGTCATTTGATCCTTTACACGCGCCACAAAACGCCACTCGATGACAAGTCTAAAAGATATGGAAGTGAGTATTCAGATATATGATAATGTATTCTATTTGTGACTCACTTAATGTATTCATCTTTGTTTTCGTTGGTCACATCAATATTGGCGCCGCCGGGCTTGAGCTCATGCTGACTCTTTTGGCCAAATACATCCTCATCCAGACAGAAGGTCAGCTCCAAGATGCGCGGATCATTCTCCTTAATCCACATCAATGAATTATAGTATTCGGTATCAACCGATTCCATATCCTTCAAATCGATGGGCTTTTGCAACATCATCTTGTAGAACGGCCGGATAAAGAACGCATCCAACAATTTGCCATGGTATACAGCCATGCCAGCTATGCGACCAATGAATCTACACATAAATAAAAGATATTTAGAAATTATAGACATAAATATTGGTTGCTTGTACACAAACTTACTTGAAGTAACTTAAATGCTCTTCATTACACAAGCCGCTGCCATTGTTGATTTGCAGTGTATAGTTGTCCATGGCTGAGTACTCGAAGAGTCCATAATACGGATTGAACATTTCTTTGGATAGCAAATAGAACCATTCTCTGGCAAGGCCACCATAATCTGAATAACAAAATAAAGCGTTTAGTTAAATTTAAATGAATCGGAGTGTAAGTGATTTTACCTAAGCCTGTTTCTCCTTCAAACTCGACCCATAATTTAGTCTTTAGTAAATCGGTTTTCGTCACCGAGCTAATAATTCTATATGAATCCTCCAATATGGATGTACGACGAATGCGTATTTCAAATTTATTTGGTACATTTGTCTGCAAATGAAGTTAAAGGGAAAGTAAATTATTTGATTCTCAATTTAGGTTATAAGCTTGCTGCTTACAGGCTTTCTAATATGACTCTTGAAATATTCATATTTCTGTTTGTAATCTCGCGAGTAGGGAACTGCTTGGCCAGCGATATTTGGATTTGACAAGCGCGGATCCTCCCACTGTGTGGTGCGCGTATCTGCAGATGAATTTAAAATTCAATTAAGCAAACGCTTTGAGAGGATTTCTTTGTCAATTTAGTGCTCACTGTGATCAATATAAAAGACACGGCCATCTGTATGCACGCGCTCTTCCCAGCCTTCGGGCAACGGGCCGAGATCATCTTCGACGCGTCGCGTTTGATTTGGCATGGGACTTGCGCGTCCATTGCGCGGGTCTATCCAGGTTGTGCGACGTGCCTCATGATCAATAAAGAAGGTACGTCCATTGGGTGCCACCTGCATTGACCAGCGGGGTGGTAGCGCCTCCTCCTCATTGGCGGCGGTCTGCAAAGACAAAAGAAGAATCTTTTAGCTATATAGACGAATCGTTATAGTATCTTCCTAAATCAAGAGTGGCAGCTAAGAGAAGCACATGCACATACGAGTGCATATATATATACATATATATGGATATAGATATATATTATGCATATGGAATGAAACTTTACTTGATCCGTGGGCACAGCCGCGTTGTCTTCCTCGGAATTGCGTCGGGTGGACGGAGCTGAGATCTCTGAGGGATTGTGGCTGTCTGTGTGATCGGTGTCTTCACTCTAATTTGATATGGTTGCAATATGTTTTTTTTGTTGTATATTTTAATTGTTTATTGTTTTTTGTTGCAATTGGAAGAAACAGAAAAGAAATATTTCCAATAAATTATAATTAATTTTGTCAAATACAAAGAACAAAATAATAAAAAAAAAGAAAGAAAAAAGCAGAACATAAAAGTACATAGAGCACATCCAATTAAAGATAACACAGAAAATATATATATTAAACTATTCGAAATGGAGCTAGAGAAACAACGACTCTACGAGTATATTTACATCAGAGTTTCTTCACAGCTCCAATTTGAAACACAAATTAAAAAGTTAGATGGAAAATGTGTACAAATTTGTATTATATATGCTTGTTAGATGGAATTATGTATCATGCATATAAACTAGATAAATATGGTATATACAGTAAGATATAAATCACTGAAAATGGTTTATGTTTTGTTTGAAATATATGTAAAAGGCAGAAGGAGGTGTGGCCTACAACTCCATTAAGCGAAATCGACTAAGCCCTCAACGTATGAACATATAAATGAATGTGTCAATCTGAGAAATTGTAGCAAAAGTAAAAGGCTTCATTGAAATAATTTCAATTGCTTTAAAATCGATATATAAGTTTATTTTTTGAGCATATATGAAGTTTGTAGCCTGCAGCTGAGTTCGGGGTATTTCGTAGTCGAGCAATGCCGACTCGAGCTTCCATAAATCCTGAAATCGATATTCAAATGAATATTCAAGACTCTGGCTAAAGTTGCTCTCGAGTTTAGTGTCGGAATTTGTCATTGTAAAATTGGATATACTTTTGTTATAAATTCTACAGGAATTGTATGCTCCATAGCTTACCCCGTCCGCTACACGCGACCATATTAAGCCCATCCAAGATAACGCTTAAATTTGCAAATTGTTAGAGTCTGGACTTGAACTGCTGGGATAGATTTTCGGATGTTTTTTTTTTTTCCTTAATGTATAGGCATACGTACAAAATTTTGAACAGAGATGAATGCAATATTTGGGATTTTGGCTTTTTCTTATACCATTTTGAGCCAAGATAGCTGGAATAGATCGACCTTAAATACCATGAGAATATCAATTTGAAAGCAGAACTAAGCAAGAACAGCGCGAGTAGATTGTTGCAGAACGAAACACAAACTAAATTTGACAGTTAATACTTATGATTGTGTGTGAGTGTATGGTGTGTGCTGTGCTGTGCTGTGCGTGTGTTGTGTTGTGTGTGTATGCTAACCAATTGTCTATGCTGCTGCTGAACTTGGCGTCGTCTCTGCTGCCTGTGTTCCAATTGCTGGCGACCCCAATCGTTGTCATTGGCGCGTCGGGTCAATAGATTCGTTATGGCCGTACTGACCAGGTCGCCAGGCGCTTCACGCACCGGTCGCAAATCATTCTGCAGGCTGCTCGATGAGAT